GTTAAGCGTGCAAAGATTTGTGCGCAATATTTCAATCTGAAATCAAAATTTTGTCCCACGCTTCGTAACTTTGCGCATCATAAAAGATTAGGTAATTATGTGTAGCTAAAAGTTGTGTATTTGTTCGTGAACTGAGCGTGGCACATTTGCATACATACGAACAAAACACGACTTGAGAGTAGGCAGTCAGGGGTGCTGAAGGAGCAAAGTTGCTCTCGTATAATGAAGATGAGCGAAGATGTTAGGTAATCCGCCACATTGGAACGGAAACTTAAAACAAACCGCAACCGTGGCAGGCTCTCAAAGTTCACTTCATGTTTCTACTTATTCGTGCTTCACGTCAATTTTCTAATGAAGAAATCTATATTGCTTTCTTCCCTTGACAGTGGAATTATAAGAGACCCATCTCGTACCACTTAAGCTACAAAATATGTTACATTAATTATGCTTTTTATTAATTTATGCAAAAGATACAGTGCTAAAAGTACTGTAAATATTGTTTACCACTACATATTTGTTTAAGTTAAATTTAATTACTTAAGTTTTTTTCTTTTTATTTTAATATATGTTTCAGATAAACACAAAATTATGGACTATAAGTATATCATTTACAATATACTAAATATACTACAAGATAATTTTAGATTCTCCTTTACTTTCACAGCAAAGGGAAAATTAGTAAAATGAGCGAAGTCAGTGTTACAATTGTATGTCAACCAGGAATAAGGTCTTGATTTAAATGATAATTCTATATTTTATTAAAATTTATAACAGTAGTGTGCAAAACATCTTTCATAATCAAATGTTTTTTTTCCAATAATTCAAAAACTTAGGAAGTATCTATGAATTGTGGTTATATATTTAAGAATGATTTGAAGTTCCAGTTTTTTTTTTACTTATTCACGTCAAGTGTACTTCTGTGTTCTATCTTAGAAATAACTAGTTATGTTAAAAATAGCCAGATGAATTGAGCAAACGCGATTAGAAAAATAGAATTAAACCTCAATTTTTTACAAATTATATTTATTCTGTATTATAGTAACAAATTTATATAGTAATGAACATGAGCAAATAATTAAGAACGACTAATTTTTAGAGTATATTTAGTAAACTGCTCTTTAAAAACATGAGTTGTTTCTTATGAAACTAAGATACGTACGGAACGTAAGGAAAAAATATTTTAATACAATTTAAACTAAAATTAATACTAGGTGCATGTCCACGACTTTTAATTACTGCTTTACACCGGCGAGCGATTGACTCTATTAATTTTTGACATAGATCCACACTGTCGATTTGACACCTTTTTTAACTTTGCACCAAAGATACTCTCTATTCTATTGGATTTAGATCTGGGCTGTTTGCTGGCCAATCTAAGACAAAACTGATTCCTTATCATGGATCATTCTCGTGCTGGAAGGCTCCGGAAAGCACAGAAAAGCATACGCTTATGATGCTACTTGACGCCACACCTTGCTCAGAACGTAGGTATTATTTGTTTGCATTGCTTTAATCATCATGCTATTCAGCGGCATACCCGAGGCAACATATACACGACGGCAAAGGTCTATTCAACTTTGCTGCGGTGTTACGGGACGAAGATAACTGAATAAATAACACTTTTCAAGAAAGAGCACAGAATAAATATTATCAAAAAAATGAAAAACGTTAAAGAAGAAAAAAACTATCCTCCACTTCTGTGTGGTTTAGGTAGTGTGGTGTTTGTACTGGTAGGCACTGAAAGTAGATTTCGACACACATTTCTCGCCTCATAGGTGACATTGTCTAATTTTCAACTGTGTGCTTGTTGCAAAAGGCGACAGCACCTAGCGCTTACCCATTTTTTGTTTACGAGGGAAAGCTTGCCGGGTGCAAGAACGAATATTCTAGATACGACACGCTAAAAACTTCAGCGCGCCATCCTTCGTGGAAGTTTTGCTTGGATAACGAACTCTTCCGACTGACTAGACGCCATGTAAGCCAGAAGAGCCAATGGTAATAAGCAGTAAGCCTCCCAGTTCGATCGGTAGACTTGGTCCGTGGCTCCACCGCTTACCACGTCTTGGCCGCAGAGGGTAGGGAATCCTTTCCTCTGCGGCTCCGCCAACGCTGCATCAATGGCCCTGCTGAGTCACGGAAGAGAGGGAGAATGGCATGACACAATACCAGCATAGAGTGGCTGTATCTCAAAAAACTTGAACCTGCCCCTCGAAACCTCCTCATTCGCATCCAAAATAGGCTCAATGATCCCACTCGGAGTGGCCCTCGCAGTGTTCACAAGGTGGTGAGAACCCGGTTGAAGAGGGCCTTGCGGACAACATAGAGAGGCAATGTTCAGTTGTACACAGACGCGAAAGTGTTACAAGTGGACAAGCGTCCATTTCTAGATAAAAAAATAACAATAAAGTTTTAAAAGTCTTGCTTGGGGCCGCTTATCTGTTTTCACGATTTTCAACACGCTTCTCTCCAGCTGCTCCTCCTAGAAAGAGGCCATTTTCATTTGCATTCACAAGCCTAACAAATAAACTAAGCAGCTCTCTAGTTATCACGCCATCAGCCACTTTAATGGCTTGGGAAGATTTAGGAACGTATCATTCTTAAAATGGTCAAGGAACACGTATATTCCGTATATATAGAATCGTTGACCCGGTTGAGGAAAGGGTCAATAGTACATTGGACAACACTACACACACAGTAAGTGCTATCTTAAATACGTACAGTATGTCCTCGCCTAGGAGCACGGCTAAAACAACACCTTCTTATTCGAGTTATTGCAGGTTCTCACCACCCCTAAACACCGAAATACAGCCAATGGCCGTCAGAGTCACGGTTCTTACGAATCATCGATGGCCAGTAGGAGACACCTTCCTTAAGATAATTCACTGTCCTCCACATTGGGTAGCGCCGCGCATGTACTCATGCGCGGCGCAAAGTGGAGGGCCGTTTATGAAACTCGTGGATTCTAGCTAGCCCATGGGTTCTATGTTCGGTGAAGCTTTAATAGTCTACAGACTGAAAACGTTAACATCAGTCAATGAAAGTAGAACAAAAGAATTGCGAGATTGAAGGTGCTCCGAAACTGAAAACTCAGCCTCTTTTGATCAGTGACACAAAGAATAATTTAACATCGAAGTCCAAACCATCCGCCGTGCGCCCCACCCTGGCATAAAATATTATCAAGGATTGCTCAATTGCAAACTAATTTATTTTCATTTAAAATACGGATTTGGAAAAATCTCGAGAAGAAGAAAAAGATTAGGGGATGTCGGGAGATTTTTCAAAATCCTTGTTTTGAATTAATGGTATTGAGGCTCGATCAAAAACTTTCGAAATCACACCAAGGGAAGGGGGAGAGAGAAGAAAAGAGTTTCACATAAATAATGGATGAAACCTAACGATTACCGTCAAATCGTAATCCAAAGTTCCTAAAAGAATAATTTCCTTGTAAAGGAATATTAAAAGACTACATTTAAGAACATCTTTATTGTAATTTAAGTAGGTGTTAATTTTTTGTTAAAAATTTCGATTCTGACATTGAAATGCAATACATTTCATTTTTGTACTTAACACGCGTATAAATAATCACTTATAGCTTTTGTCTGCCTTAAAACAGTTCTAAAAAAAAGTAGGCTTTTCTAAATATTCATCAGTATATCATAACGACATCGTCTTCGACACGGCGGAAGTGCGGACGGGTCCGGCCCCCCATTGGCCTGTTACGCTGTAGTATGAATGGGCAGGTCCGTCCAGGGAAGTAGCAAGACCTACCAGAAGACCGGCGTGAAGTAGAATTATTAGATTTCTGCGTTTTGTCTTGTGAGTCGGAACGTTTTTGCAACCCTACGGGAAACATCCATGGGCGTTGGTTATCACTTACCACCATATGAACCCCCAGCTCGCTTGTAATTATCTCACATAAAAAAAGTAAAGTAACAGGCTATAAATGTCACACTGCTGGGCAAAGGACTCCTTGTACATATAAAGGACTACTTTGTTTCGGGGAATAGTCCACCACTGCGGATTTGCGGATTTCACATATTTTCGACACTTCACAATTTTTTTTTGTTATTATTTCGAAAATATGCAGGTTTCCTCACGATATTTTCCTTCACCACCGAGCATGTGATAAGTCAGCACTTAAAATTAATAATTTCATTTGTGCTGGCATCGGGGATCGAACTCGAGTAAATTGAATTAAAGGCGAGCGCCCGAACACTGAGCTACCACGGCTCAGCTTTCTCACATAAATAAAATAAATAATTTTGGATACATGTGTTCTTCGATGACGTTTATATCACGAAGGTAAATTATATTTATACATAAACATAAATGAACGTTTCATGTAATAAATTGATGAAGTAAACATGCTTGTTAAGTACCGTTTGCCGTTATAACTTCTAACAAACGCTTGTGCTCGCTGAACTCTATATTTGAGGAAAGAGTATTATATTTACACTACGTATATATGAATATGCGATTGAAATAATATTAATATTTAGATAACTATTGAATGAACATGCTAGTAACATTATTTTTCGTTATCAAAAATACATGTCATTTTTATGTTACTATGTATTCCGATTAATTTAAATCTCAGGTTTTAACGAAGTTTGAATAAATTTTTAAAATAATTAAGTGTAGCTATAACGATTACAGGTTTCAATAAAAAAAACGTTTTAAATATATAATTTAATATATGTGATCGCACAACGACAAGGACCTTTAATTAAATTAAAAAATATATACATTTAATATATTTATAGCAGTTGGCGTGCTATAGACCATGGTGATTGTAGTCCGTAACACCCAAAAATTTTATTGTACCTTGGGTTTTATACGTAATATGTCATGTCGTATGCTAGTCGTTTTTACCACCTACATTCTGGTAGGATTAGTTGGTTTTTAACGGTACGCTGGCCCTACTATTTCGCCATCGTCCACGAACTCGATGTAGTTGAGTGAAGGTAAACAATTGAAACCACGGGTTCACTGTGATTTCACCCAGTTATCAGTAGCAACAAAGTGAGAATAAACTGAATTTTGCATTGTTTGGCGTCGAGGGCAAAACTCATCAGCAAACCTTAGCCAATAGTAGAATCTTGTGTAATAAGATGATTAGGACACCAGATATCCGAATATATTAGGAGTTTTATACTGTATGGTGCTGCATGAGTCAAGTACAAAAGTATGACTAGTTAATAAAAATGTTATAATTATTTACGACTTGAAAACAATAATTTATAATTTTAATAAGTTTAATGTTATTATAACGTTATAAATTGTTTCATTTTATTACTATATTGAATTTGATATTAAAAAAAAGATAGATATTAGTCCTTTCATTGAATATTAATTTGAATTGTCCGGAACTTTCACATCAATAACAATTTTCCGCTCTCTTCGACATATTCAATTAAGCTTATGGGCCCTAGATTTTACATTACTGTGATGAAAGGATGACTTTTCATATATTTCCTTTAGAGTATAAAAAGTATGTAGTATATACGAAACTAGTATATTTACTTACTTTTTGAAATAATATCGTTTTAAAAATGTAAATGGAACATAGTTTCGTAGGAATGAATATAGGTATGAGGGATTTCGAGATCTCAGATGTTAATCTATGACTTCGGGTTGGTATCTTAACGTCCAAACTCTTAAAGAAAGCCCAGAAAATTCATTTAAAAAATAGTTCGTGCAAGGAATAATTACTTTTAATATACACACATTGTAAATTCTAGTCGCTTAACTTTGTTTAACTAAGCGATATCATTATAAGTTTTTATTCATATACGAGAGAGTATACACGATTGAAATTAGATTTAAAATGTGACATAAAGAAGAATTTGATATAAATATCAACAATGGAACAATAGGAATATCCTGATTTGTTAATGCAATACATTTTGTCTTACAAATTGAGTACAATGAACAGTACGAAATAAATTATCATTATTAACAACTGCAAGCTGCAACTTATATTAGCTTTATTTATTTCATTTTGAATTTGATATTTATCTACTACTTTGTGAACTTTATTGTTCAAATTTAATTTACTAATTGCATTTGAACGGGAAAGAAGTAATGTTCTATTTGATGTACCAATGGAGTTGCTGTTTGTTAATATCTCATTGGGAATGTAAGTTGAAGTTTCCTTTTCATCTTCGTCATCCGATCGTTCAGCAGAGCCGAACTGGTTATCTGGCCCTTCCAGAGGAGTTGAATAGTTTTGATCTTCTCCGTTGTGATCTACGCTGGAGTCCGTCATGAGGCCTGGTCCTAGTATTTCTGGAAGTAAAATGTGGGTTAGAAACACAAACAGATGCTAACTAACGTGTGCCCATTGCAGCGGTAATTTTCCTCAAAGCCCTTATGAGATAATGATTTTATAGGTATCATAAAGTTTCCAAATACTTTTTTTATCAACCATGCAAAGCAAAACATATTTGACTGTTCAAAGTATATTTTATTTAAAACGCTACGTTAAAAGGGGGAAACAAATGTGTGCAATACACAATAAAAATACAAAATAAATACAATTTCCCTAAGCCCTAAATAAATCTGTCAATATAGAATCACAGACACCACCAACTCTTCATTATATTGTTTTTATTATAGATGAAGCTATGAATAATTTTTCTTACAAATTACTGCGTTCTATTAAATTCTAAGGTAAAATACTGAGAGAACGAAAAAAAAAAAATAATAATGACGACAAGTGTTAGTTGATTTTCATGAACAAATATATAATTACTAGCTGTTAACCGCGGCTTCGCCCGCGCGGCCAAAGGGCATTGACAATGAGTTTTTTATTAAACACAGGATATTTCGCAGATGGTTTGGACAATTCACACAAGCCGTACTAATTTTATAAATGCTTTCACGCCAAAACTACCGAACCTATTTAAATGAAATTTGGTACACAGATAGTCTAGAGGTTGAAAAAGGACATAGGCTATTTTTTAATTGGATTTTTTTTTAAAGAAAGATATTTATCTTCAACGCGAGCGAAGCCGCGGGCGAAAAGCTGGTATCTTTATAAAATATAGATTTTGTGTTATTATGATGTATAAAGTATAGTACCTGGAGGACCGAGTTTTGCATTGCGGTTTGTTTTTTTTTTGTAAATCGTGTATTTTGGAAATTACATTTAGATTATATTTACAACTAAAAACTATATATTTGAAAAAAAAAAAAACAAAAACTGAGTGCATTCAAACAAATTATCACATGTCCATAATGTTTTTTTTTCCCCTCTCTTATTTTTATAGTTTTTTTTATTTTGTAGCAGTGTTTAGCAGCTTTTGTTTATAGTTTTTTTATCTAGTGTAAATTAAGTTGAAAACATTGTTGCCATGATATCGTAGTATGTTGTGTACGCATAGTTTTGGCTGACAGTATGTAATTGTTACACTTTATTGTGATGTGTATATTACTGTTTGCTGTTTTGTGTACCGAATAAAATAAAATAAAATAAAATAAAAATAAATTACTGAGTAAAGAAATATGCATAATATTTTTCGATCTTACCGACCTAATAATAAAAAAATATGAAGTGGTGTTTTTCACAAAAGAAACAACTTTAAAAAAAAGGAAGAAAATAACGAAATCATCTGGATCAACAAAACAAAAAAAAATAAAGAAAGCAATGATCTGGAATCGAAAAAAAAGTAAAAAAAGAGTGTGTAAATGATCGTGACACGAACCATGGCCGTCTGTTTTGGGGCCGCCCGATTACCGACCGAGCTATTATAACATTTTTTTTTGCGGCGAAATTTACCGTCATATTCGAATGATATTTTTCATTCCCTGAAAACAGGAATAAAAGGACATTTTCTAAAAATGAAACCTGCTCAATCGATTTTTCGGCCCCGTATATACGCACATACAAAATTTCATGAAAATCACTGGAGCCGAGAATTGCTCGTTTAAAGGATAAGATTATTATAAAATTTCATCAAAATGAGTAGTTTTTGCGTGAAAGAGTAACAAACATCCATCCATACATACAAACTTTCGCGTTTATAATGTTAGTAAGGATTGTTGATATGTATGCTTTTATATGTGATAATATACACATTTACATGATAGTTTAGCATTTAAAATTTAATATGCAAAAGTCTTGCTGTGAACAATAAATAGCCTTAGTTAAACTCCTCTTATCTGAGTTTGGGATGATCTGTTTTAATAAGTTAATGTTAACCACATTGATAATCGTATATTGTTATAAGGTAATCGTCCTCTTACATCTTAAGCCACGCTGCATAATGCATCGCTGCCCATTTAGGTCATTTCGTGTATTATTCCATTAGTAGCAGCGTTTTGCTGCCTAAATCTATTGCGCTGTTAATAATAATCAAGATATCAACCAATTTGAAACTAATATTCCGCAAGATGTAATTTAAATATATAGCATTTAGTAATTAACGCCCGTAGTGACCGTTTACTAATAATACGCATTTTCGATAACTTTTTTCAAGAGCTCATTTCTTTCACATTTAAAGGTTTCGGTTTTTATAATTTCGTAGTACTTATATTAATTACCTATTGAAGTCTTGCGAGCCTTATTATCTAGGTTGACCTTCCAAGTTGAAAGTGTATTTGGGAGCTATTATTGGACAAAACATTTTTATGAAAAATATAACTATTTTGCCGACTTTTTTGCGTTTAATTATCCTTCTTATTTGAAAATAAAATTGAACTCAATAAAATCTGTAATATTGTTTAATTTCAGGGCACCCAAAGGGTAAAATGGAACCCTATTACTAAAACTCCGATGTCTGTCTGTCTGTCATTATGTCACCGGGCTCTATCTCATTAACCGTGATAGTAAGACAGTTGAAATTTTCACAGATGATATATTTCTGTTGCCGCTATACCAACAAATAAACATATATATATATATATATATATATATATATATATATATATATATATATATATATATATATATATATATATATATAGAATATTGATTTAAGTGGGACTCCCATACAACAGACATGATTTTTTTTGCCGTTTTTATAGATAATGGTACGGAGCCCTTCGTGCGCTTCTCTGACTCTCAGGGTATCTATATTTCGATACCCCCTCGGTGGCCCTCGGTCTCCTATGGAACGCATCGGTGTCCCTCGGTACTGGGCGTGAGCACGCTTTTGAGAAGGATTAACCTTCTCCGATTCTCTCGCTATCTTGCAACAGCTCGTAGCCTCGAGCTTTCGTGCTGCTGCCAATCCGTGTCCCCTTTACTCGCCTTTTACGACACGCAAGAGATACCTTAGTCCTATTCTATGATCTCGGGACTACAGGGCTGATAGTAAAAAAGCCTGGGATCCTTTCTTTTCACATCTTACTCAGCTTATTCTTTTCACATCGGACAGATATAAAAAATATATACGGTCAAATTGAGAAACCTTCTTTTTATTAAAATTCGTTAATAAATAAAAGAATTGACGGTGGCCTTGACTAGAGGTCGTTAAGCGCCCAATGTGTCTCACAATCATAGGTGCAGTAGTATAAGGGCTAAGGGATGTAAGACTTAAAGTAACACTGATAGAAGCTGCAGACTAATTTATTTGATTTTTACTTTCAAACAATAAATTACAGTCCGGATAATACGTTAACATGTTTTGAAGTTAAATATGCGCTATGTAGATTTATATTTTTAATACTATGCTTGCAAGGTAATGCTTCGATGATTAGTATAGTTATTTAGTTATGTATTTTAATGTAAATGTAATGCCAATTAAAATGTAAAGTATTATTTTAAATAATTAACAATTAACAAGTCAATTAATAATTATTAAGATGCTGAACCTACGGCAGTTTGTAAGTATTTATGAACAAAAAATACTATAAAAAGTTACGTTTTTATTATTATAATTATAGAATACTTACCGTACAGCCTTATTACACTGTCTACTTCACCCAGTGAGTTTTTCGCAACGCAACGGTATCCGCCAAGATCGATCTTCTCCAAACGACGCACTGTTAGTGTCATACGGCTCTCGAAGGGGCTCATCATTGTGTTGACAACTTCGTACTTGCCGGACGATATCACCATTTCGTCTGATGAAAAAGGTGCCTCGTTTACTCGCTTACTTAATTATGCCGCTATCATACTTTGTATCAAAAAGAACTTCCCTAAGTATTAATTGCTAAAGAACAAAAAGTTTTCTGGCTAGAGCTTCACCATTATGTCGGCGCTTTGAGTTTCTTCAAAAGTAACGAACCGTGATAAATACGACTGAGGCATCGACTTTTGAAGCATTCCTTTCAATTACTTATTAATGTGAAATTAAAACTCTCAACGTACTAAGAAATTAACAAATCCATTTTATTGGACATTAATTTGATATTGTCGCTTTGCCTACAGCATAATAGGCTTTAATTTAGTTAATTAGTCAAAAGATTTTATCAATTACTGGTGTACAAAAATTCTGAAGTAGAAAATAATGCCGCAAGCTATTGCAGAGATAGAATCGTTTTGCAAATAGTTTTAAAGTTGCTACTATTTTCTTGCCGTCCCTGACGATCTAAACAATCCTTCCATCCCGTAATGTTGTTCACCCTCGCAGAGCTTAGTAAGCCCCGGCGTCTGTTGTCCGCAAATGATAAAGTGACTAGCTTTCTTACGAAAATACTGTTACGTTCTACTACACCTCGCGCTCGTTTTAGAGCTTCCATTGTCTCTTTTATTCGCTTTATAAAGTGAACTTTCAAATTGTTTTATAAGATACATTTGCAACAGATTAAACATAAACGTAAATCGGAATTGTGTACGTAAAGTTAGGAGTGTTTTAATATAAAGAAAGACAGCTTTATTCATAGAAGATCACCTATTTATGACAAATCCATCAAGAAAAGTAAACCCTAACAATGACCCTGACAATTGTTTAAGGGTACAAATTTTTAGGCCGATGTAAAGATATTTCGAGTGTGTTTCTAGAAAATACCTATAACAAACTGGAGAGGAAGTAAAAAAAAAGTATGTATGTACGCACATACCAAGTTACTTTAGCGTAACAAAAGACAAATAACTAAAAATTTTATTATCTGTGCCAGTACTTTTTTGTGAAAAACAATGATGTTTTTTAAACAATAAAACTAGTCAATAAAAACCTTCTAGTGCGAATGTTCATTTGAGTTTAAAAGAGTACAAAATAAGGTTGGTAACCAAGATTCGGTATTGTTCATGTACATAATATATCTTGCGTAAATTAGGTGAAAAGAAAGAATATTTGTACTAATTAAAAATGCAGCCCCATCAGTTTTAAGGTACTTCAAAAGGACGCGATGGAGCCAGTAACGCCTAATCTTGGGTTCGATCGAAACTTCTGTTTGTTTACCCTGGAATATTTTGCTTTAGAGCGCGCGGCAAAGATGTGTCCTTCGAACAAAATTACACAACGTACCGGAGGGAGTCCCCGCCGCCCGTTTAATTATAACAAGAAATTTCATCTCAATTAATGTCTAAAATAACACTGTAACACTCTTAATAACGCTCGAGTGAGGCCTGCTTAATTAACACTTACATGTCAGCCGCCCTAACATAGATTGATGACAAACGAAAATGACGATCCCGTGCCGTTCCCCCTTTCGCGTTGGTTTTCACTGTGGACCGTAGGAAAGCGCTAGTCATTCCCCAACAAGTTCTCCACCAAACAAAGGCTTGATCAACGGCCGCCGGCTGTATCATGAATCATACTTCTGTCGCGGGCGAACTGATGCCGTAATGCGTTTTATTAGTTCAGATTTGACGTCTAACGTACGAGTAAGTTATTGTTGCGCTTTTTCGCACAGTACCAGGAACAATCATCGAATGGTAATATAATAATGTGCTAAAAAGTATTTATCAATAAAAGGCATATAATTTTTAATGATATCGGTAAACTTCAGTTCTTTGCGTCGCTACTTCTTTATTTAAAGAATTTTTCGATAGACGGCGTAATCATACATTATTTATAAGAAATGCTTGAAGTGTTTTTGTACATAATTTTTTTTCTATTTTCCAAGTTTTCGTCAATGGCGAGTAACAAACATAAGCTTTAAAATGGTGATGTCATGGAAATTATCGCGTTACGATGTAGAACCTTTGAGAAATAATTGAGTATAAGTATATATTAGATGCAAGAATTTAAGAATCTCTTTTTTCAACAGATACTTGGAACATATATGGCGTGTTATTAAGAAGTTATTCGAATATTTAAAGGAAAAATAAAATGTATGTAATGTAATATAAATATTAATTACAAAATATTTAATAAATATTGCACCTATGCTTCGAAAATATTTAAAGTATACAAGGTGGCTTTTTAGAGGTGCTCAAATTCACACAGAAGGTTCAGACTCGGTAGTATAATCGTTTATTGAAATAAAAACTAACTTTTTTTTTTCCAAAAAAAAAAAAACCAATTCAATTCCCTAAAAACAGAACTTGTTGACAATGCGGTAGTAATTCATAAATGCGTCGTATACTTTTGAAACGAACTTGTGTGCGTGTTAGTTAGGAATGATCGCGCGTAAAATAAATGAGTTGCCGATAAATCACGATTTTTTTGAGATAAGTTCAAATGAATGTAATTAATGAATTACGAGTGATTTTTAAATATTTATCATTTTTATACAACATTATATATGTCTACAATTTAATAAAAAAAAATAATGGATACACTTAGAAGAGCCTACCTGTGTAATAAGTATTGATTAGTATAACAATCATTAAAATGAAACAATAAATATTAAACGTTTAAATGTAGATAATATGTTTTAAAATATCTTCAAACTGGCGTTTTTAAATTATAGAAATAAGCTACTGTAGCAATTACGTGTGGACGCAGCAATACCTGAAGTAGGTATTGGCTATTTCATTGAGGTTGTTATGACCGTTTCTGAAGCTCCTAAGTGTTGCACTGGAGCGCTGTAAACTGCAGCACGTAATGGAATAAGAGGAAGCAAAGCTCCTCTAGTGCTTGGAACGAGGCCACAAACTGTACTAATGAAACTACCTGCACTTTGAAAAGAATATCCTGGGGCGCAATATCTTATACATAGAAATGTATGCGTGTTATTTAAGTCGGAATGAATGATACTTTTTTGGAAGTTAATATAAAATTAATTTGACTTGATTTAAATAAAATATGGTAAGTAGTTTATAATTAGTAATTAATTAATTAACAGTGATATACTTTATTTTTATATAAACCTTTATAATTACTAGTTTATAATAAATCATTTTTATTATACCACGAGAATATTTAATACTAAACCCAACGTCGCAGATTGTTAATTTGTTTGCTAAGGAAGCCAATTTCGTATAATATTCTCAAACTAATTTAATTTAAAATATCTTAATTTAAATAACCATCACAAATAAGTCTTGTAATTTAATTTGGAAGTGATACATAATTGCTAACTAGCTTGTAAACAAGGTGATCTTCTATTTTATCTGACACGCAGATGGGCAAAAGAAGTTAAGAGCAAGGGGGAGGCGCTAGCAGCCAGTCTGGACATAGCGAAGGCCTTTGATCGGGTATGGCACAAAGAACTTCTTCCGAAGCTGCCTTCCTTTGGCCTTCCCGAGAAGTTATACAATTGGATCACCAGCTTTTTGCAGATCGGAGCATTAAGGTCGTCGTCGACGGTGCATGCTCTGATCCTAAATTTGTCAATGCTGATGTTCCTTGTGGAACCAGCTTTGTAGCTGCGTACTGTCTCCTACTCTGTTTCTTCTGCAAATCAATGATATGTTGCAAATCAGCAACGTTCATTGCTATGCGGATGATAGCAGTATGGATGACTCGTAAACAAAAAAGTTCTACTCGGAATAGTTGGCGTCGAGATTTCGAGCAATGTCCAGTTCCGAGGTGAGTTGGAAAGTAAGGCCAAATTGGCCTCAAAAAAGCTCGGTGTGCTCAGCAAGGCGAGACAGTACTTCACGTCGGCTCAACGCCTAAGCCTTTATAAAGGGGATATTCGGTCCCACATGGATTGTTCATACATCTGGGCGGGAGCTCCCTGTTAACAGCTTCTTCCATTTAACCACATCCAACGTAGGGCAACTAGGGTTATCGACGATCAAAGTCTTTCCGATCGGCTTGATTCCTCCTCCACTCTGCATCTTCTACCGCATCGATCACGGGGAGTGTTCCAAGGAATTATTTGGATTGATCGCGGCGGCTGAATTTTACCATCGGACATCGCGCTAAAACCAAAAATTTCATCCACACCACCTCGATGTCCAGTGTTCCACAACAGCTGCCGCCGGCTATCTTTCCAAACCGTTATGACCTGGGAACGTTCAAGAAGAGAAGATACTCTTTCCTATTTTTTTTTTTGGGCTAGATGAGCCACTGTTGGCCTTAGGGGCCTTTACAGATCCGACGGACTTGAGGTGGCCTGGCGCACGAGGCGCCTAGCCTGAACCTCTGCGTACTATTATTACGCGTTATGGTGACTAAGCTCGAGGGCTCCCGGGGGAGCCTCGGCTCGGGCCGTCACGCTATTATTATCACCGGTTTGGGAGGCCGCCAAGCTCTTAGGACGCTTTGGCGGGCGCTCCATGGAGTGATCAGGCTCAAGGGTCCCCTAGAGGGGACCTCGGCTTGGGCTGTCACTAAGCACGCGTTTAGCATTCCGATTCGAGGGTGCCCGAGAGGGCCGGCTCTAATGCTTTCCTTTCTACCTCTTCGTTCACCTTGCGGAGGTGTTCGGGGTCGGTCGGAAGCAGACTGGGGGAGCATTGAGACTCTAGGCTGTCAGCCAGGCATTCGGGCTTCTCTTCGTCCAGCATTGCTGGCGTACCTATCGGACGGACTAGTGGCGGCATGGTTGTTATGCCGTTACCCTTGAGGGCTTTGGGAAGTTTCCAGAAAGCTACGTGGGATGGTTTTACTGAAGTTAGGGTGGAGTCCCATCGTTTGTTTCGTGAGTCTGCTATGCGTGTTTGACCTCACGCTGCAATTTACGTAGCAGTCTACGATTCGAGTCGGTGGGATATCTATCATAGGCTCGAGTGGCCGCATTCTTGCGTCTCAGCAAGTCTCGCACATCGTCTGGCAGGGCTCAGC